AACAATCATCCGATCATGGTGATGTCAGAAGTGTCTAAGATTTCTTAAAAACATGATGGTGTCGGATTGCACTGTAAAAGTTGTGCAATTCCATTTTTTGAAAACAAAGCCTATTTACTAAAAAGTGCAGTCAAATCAAACGTTTCACCACCCGCACAGATCTAGCCTTTTTTTTGATTACAACTTCGCTCAAGGGGACTTTGGGTCAACGAATTATCCGTGTAATTGCACCTATATGACACATCTCTTTAGCGCTCAAGGATTTGACGCTGAGTTTTTCCTGTTCGCCCGCCAAAATACCAGAAAAATACTCGTCATTACCAACTAGAACAATTTCACGAAGCTGAATTCTGTTAATTAACGAAAAATCGAGCCAAACCTACCAATGCTAGTAGCGGCAATAGCACCAACAGCTGTGCCTGGTTCAGTTACGGCACGTTTCAATTTTCGCGCACAAAGATCGATGAAAGCGATTGCTTGCGAACGCGACAAGCACTGTGATCTGATGGTAGTCTGACGGAATACATTTTGATTTTTGCAATCACTACAGCGAGTTTGCACTGCCGAACTGCAAAAATAAGATTTAAAAAAAAGAGATCCGTGTTTGCGAGGCGAAAACAAGTGCGGTTCCTCAATAAAAAAACGTTAAAAACTTTGGCAAACACATTCTGTGATGAAATTTGCTAGTATTAACAGCAATTTCGCCCTGTAGTAGTTTCATGTTCAGAAATACTGCAAATTCATATTAAACTTTTCTTCTTTTGTTTTAATAAATACGCCCTATCTGTTATTTGTGGCCACCATGGTATTAAAGCACTCCTCCCCATTTCTGATATCCAGAGTCGCTGTTTTCGCCACCCAACCCTGTTCTGGTTAGCTCCGGCTCCCTAAAGCCTCGCCACTCTTTTTTTTACCATGTGTTAAAGCCTGAGGCGTTTGAAAAAAATACAAAAGGCCAGTAAAATCCGCCATCAGCTTGCTTTTAAGCAGCCCTCAGAGAAGAAGGGAACACCGATAACTTTGTCAGCGGATGATTGCTGCTAGCATTTGCTACCACTCAACCAGTTACCGAGTGCTATCACCTTTAACTTAGAGCGAAAAATGGAGGAAGTTCTGACTTTTCTTTTTGACAAAAAGCCAATCAGTTGGTGGGCTATTGAAAGCACTATCGACAATGACTCTATATTTCAAAAATTCCCTGAGAACTTATACCAAAAATGAGTATCGGTTTGCACTTGCGCTACGACTCAGGGCACTTCAAAGATATTTGTAGCGAAGTGGATATTTAAGAGTAAACTGATTTCCTGAAGCTGAACGAGTTCATACAAATTTACCAGTGAAATTAATCATCAAAACTGGTTTTCCTATTGGGAATACCAAGTAAAAACTCAAGCTTAATAGCAAATCCCATAAGTAAATACCATAACTATGCATTACATTAAGCCCGGAAAAATATGGGGTATACTTAAAACAACATGGTGCACTTTCCAGTGGGCAAACAGTTCCAGGATTCCATGTAATCTCAATATTCGACAAATTTCTGTTCCATTTATGCCTTAGAAGCCAAGTAAAAACTTACTGGAGCATGGCAATTATCCACGAAATAGCAAAAAAGTCAATGATCTTACCGTTTTTTATCGTTATGTTTCAGGCAATGATCAGCGATATCATAGTACTTTTTTGATTTGTCAATGTAGCCAAAGATGAACGATTCGAGTTGTTTTCGGAACAGTGCTTGTTTATCGCCGATCTTTTTATTAATTGCTTCTACGATAACAGCACGCAGCTCATCAGCATTACTGAAGCCATCTTCCTCTAATACGTGTCTGAAAGCAACCAAAAGAGGGTAATCAGACGCTAATTCGACGAAATTTCGCCTTAAAGTCGGAAAAGCTTCAGCTGCCGTTTCATTACAGAGCAACATCAACACAATAATTGTAATGGATGTTGAACGTCGCTGAAATGCCGACAAAACGGCTAAAAAATAAAAATCAGC